GTTGCAATTAAACAACTAGTGTTGTCTTTAAAATAACATGCTTAAAAAGACTTGCAAGGTTTTCTGTAGTATTTTGTTTTTTGAAGAATAAAGAGTTAAATCATAACAAAAGAAAAAGGCATATCTTTACATGATATAGATAAATATTGTTAATGGTAAGAACACTTGGGGATACGTACATGTTTTTCGCAGTCTACTTTGGGAAAAGGAAAATTAAAATTCTGAATAAGCTGTTTCTTGAATACCATGCAATATTATTCTTTTATTTGACTTTGAGTTTGGTGTCATTGATGAGGTAGATTAGGCTCTATGAGCATCGTTAAAAAACATCCCAAGAGGTTGAGTTTCTCTATTAATCTACTGATTTACTATATATTACATGATGTCATTATGGGAAAAAGGGCCATTACTAAACTTTTCTCTCTTTTAGCTTTGCATTGACAACAATGTATAAAATGTTACACCTGGCTTCATATTGAGTGTAAATAGCTTTATCATTGAAAATGGACATTCACTCAAAGAACTGTTGATTTTTTGAATCAGAACTCTTGTATTCCCAGTTTTGCTGGGAAAAAAATTAAGAACTTTGTTCTTCCTGCAATGTCTCGAGGGTATGCAGAATTGGAAAGATGCATTCCCACTTTAGAGATATGTCCTTGCAATAAATTTATGCTTTGTTCTGATAAAGTTGGAGATTTGCTCCTTGCTCCTTTCATTGTTACATGTAACTGATGTATTCACAAACTACTATGGAGCATTCTGTTGTGGATAATGGCAATAATCATCACAAGAACAGCAGCAGTCATTTTACATCATGGATCACAATACTATCACGGTCTGCAACATGGAATTTACCAGCTAACAGAAGTGAAGAGCAAAAGTGTATCTTTATGGCAAGTTGGACCATCTCTGATAATTATCTCAAGACTACGATAAGATCTTTATTGCCCCGAAGTCATCTGTGAAGGATATAACATTTTGTCAGCTTTTTGTCAAGTCTGTGGCTTCTGAAAAAGCAAGTATACTGATTATAATTATGTTTACCTGGTCAAGAATGTTGTGAAGTATGGAAATCAACACCAAACATTGCGTGCCTGTGCTCTTATTAGAACTGCAAGATTGGGCAGTGACTTTCAGCAATAACGACAGGCACTGTGTTTAAGTCCACCTCACTGGATTCCTGGATTAGAAAGGCATATTTCACTCATGCTTTATGAAGGGAAAAAATCTACAAGTTACAACATGAAGCTTAGAAGTTCCACTGTTGGGTTCACCAACGTGTTTTAACCAGTTGAAGAAATAGCAAATAACTTGCAGGTTAATCCTCTCCCTGCGAGCCCAGATGCAAAATGCAACCACGTTTGAAATTTTTGTTTCTCTAAAAATAGATTTTTTTTTTGAACAGCAACAACAACAGCAGCAAGTCATCTTGATCCTTATGGCAGTGTCATTCATGACCTGCACATCTACCACAGTACACCTTGTTTGCCCCCCATGCATAAGCGTTGTTTTTAATTTCTCTTAGGAGGACTGTAATACCCAGGAAAAATGAAAAACAAAGGTATGCAAAATTTTGGGGGCAGGCAAGGTGTTTTATGGAAGATGTACAAATGGCAAATACATTTTTAACTTGCTTTGAGCTTTTGCAACAAATTTGATGCTTGAACTAAGTTTCACTTGAAATGGAGACAGTGTGAATGAAACAAAATCAAAATACGATTGCGGCGATTATCAACATCCCTTACGGATCAAATTTCATGACCATTCTTGAGTTTTTCATCAGTTGCTGAAAAAAGTGGCTGTTGCTGAGAGGTTATTTTGGCAGTTGGGGATGCGCTTTAACGGCCATTGCTGTTGTAGAGAGGTTTTGATAAGGGTCAATGTATGGACTGTCCACCGGGACAAATTTAAGTGGCCATTCTAGAGAGGTGGCCATTAGTGGAGGTTCAACTGTAGTTTTCTCCATATTATTATGAAAGTCTTCTCTTTACTTGTTAGTGTATCATTATATCCAGAAAACTATATACCTCTATACTTGTTAGTGTGGAGGTGGAAAAATGGTGCAACAACACTTGTTTGTATATTGAAAACTCACCAAATCGCACCATTTTACAAATTTTCTTCCCTGTCTGGTGAGTCAGTTCAAGCCATGATAAGAATGTCTGGCTTGTTTTAATAAATATTGTGACCTGCTGTTGTTGTTGCTGTTTTGTTGGAATCTTTTGCTCTTATTGGTAAATCCTAGTTGCTTCTTGCATTGAAACTGTTTCAATGCATTAAGGGACTACGATTTTGGTACCATGTTTTGCCTCATGTTTGACGAAAGACCTCTGCCAAAGTGTAATCTAACATAATTCCTGCATTTTGTCTTTTAAAATACTGATAATTAGTACATCTACATCTACATATGAGGGGGGTCCTGCTAAGGAGGATACCCAAGCCATCATTCAATCTGGGAAGGAAAGTGTTAAAATAGAAGAATTCTTGAAGATCTACTTCATCGAACATTACTGAGTTTAAAGTCTTCCCGCAGTAAAGATTTCATGGCATGCCAAAATGCCCACCATACCATTTAGCTCATTGAGCAGCCTCCATAAAACGTAGAATGGAAATGAAAAATGAATTGTTCAGTCATCATAGCAAGCTCTCTCTCCTTTTTCCACCCCGTAGAAATGAGGTGAACGTTGAGGGTGAACCGGGGAGACTGGAAGAGAAATCTGAACACAAAAGTGCTATCATCGAACGATCGAACGATCGAATGGTAAATAGTCCCCTGTTCAAATAATAATGACTAGGTAAATACTGTTTTTTTTTGTTGCAGTGGAAGAAAAATTGATTGGAGCAAGGCTTATGTGCGCCCCCCCCCCCCCTCCCCCAGACCTCATATTGTGCTGGGCCTTTGGAACAATACAATAGTAACTGTGTGTTTCAGTAAGAGGTTGGGGGAAGGATCATTAATTTGTAGTGGTACCTTTGAATTTATGTCCAGAGAAGGGTGCACTCAAACATCCTAAACTTACATGATTTTTTATTACATTATTATCATTATTTTTATTTTTATTTTATTCATATTTATTCAGTTTTTATCCAATGAATTGGTGGAGAAAGTTTTTTTTTCTTTCATTAACCTCCACTGAGGTTCTCAGTGTGATGGTGCCTGGTTGCCACTCACAGGGTTGTCTTGGTTACCTTCTTGGCTCGCGTTTCACCAGGCACCTTCCCCACACCTGTCTATTCATGATGGGTTTAACTATAACTTAAAGGGGCAAGTTAAGGACTGATTGGATAATAGTTGTGTGTCATTAGATTTTTATTTTATTTATCCAGCACTAACCGTGACTTGTGCTACAACACAGCCAGGTGCGGAGTAAATAAATAACGTTGTAGTTAGATTTTTCTCTCACTGGTGATTGTTCCTTTTCAACTCTGTTCATGAAGAGCACTCTCCAAGATTACCAAGTTCCAAAAACCAACAAGTTGAGCAAGGTAAAATGTAATAAAATTTTAATGTATCCATTGAAAGAGTGTGGTAAATGGTTTATTTAGAAGAGCTTTTGTTAGTTGTGGTGTAAAGGCAGGGGGGGGGTTGGGGGAGAGTGGAGAGGGGGAGAGGCAGTTCAAAAAGGCGGGGATGCTTTCTCTTGTTTAAGGTTGTGAAAATGGGATGGGTACTCAGACAGGTTTTGGATGGGTATGGCCTCCCTGGTCCTCCAATTGTGCAGCCTGTTTTAGAAAAAAAAATATATTAAAAGAATACCCCACTCAGGAAATAACCACTTCTAGAGCACTCTCATTCCAAAGCTTTTATGCATTCGAAATATTATACCATTTTCTAGGAGACGTGTCGAATTGGATATTTACCCCTTTCTTCATTATGAGTCCAAAGATTATGACCCTGTTGGGTGGCACATTTGCAAAGAGGTATTTTGGTGAGGTCCCTCTACCCAAGCCACCTTTAGGTCAGAATGCCAATAGTTTAAGGGCCTTTTTACCTTTAGGTGGGGGACCCCAGGTTGGTGAGGTAACCCAACTGTCCATATAATCTCTCTTATAGTCACCCCATCTGTCATGTAAACATGATGAAATTAAAACGAGATTATTAGGATAGGCAGGTTACTGTTACCTCACCTACCTGGGGTCCCCCACCTCCGTGTAAACAGGCCCTTAGTTATCTTAGGGTTGTTTGTGTGTAAATAAACACCTTCACGTGAACTTAATTCCATTACGGAGCTAAAGTAGAATGTGTTGAGTCAGGGTACAGTTTGACCCTTCCATTAATTATTGCCTTTTGTCTCAAATGGGTGGCGTAGGGTGGGTGGTTATAATTCTGCATACAATATGACCCTTCACCCCTAGGTGGCAGATCTGGCAAATGCAGATGCATCAGAAGAGGACAAGCTTAAGGCCATGATGAAACAGTCTGGGGAGGATTGGGATCCTTCACAGTAAGTCTATGCTTAAAATCATATTAAAGGGGTTATAAATAGAATTATTAGTCTCTAACATTTATTTGTGGGTTGCAATCTTCTGATTTTATTTTCTCCAAGAAGTTACAGGAACATGCACTCAGTTTGTTGCCACTGCTGAAGATATGATATGATGTTTTCTCTAGATATGTGAGAGGGCGCCGTCCTTATGCCCCTGGTGTGCCTGTTCCTCAAAACTATGTGTGTTATAGGTGTGGTAAACCAGGCCACTTCATAAGGAACTGTCCAACAAATGGGGTAAGTCGCAGAAAGTCGCTGCTGAACCCTAAGGATTTGTTGCCGCTAAGGACTTAACGTTCATAAACATAACCTTTTTCATATTTTAAGGTAGTTATGATCTGGTGGGAATGAATACCTAAAAAAGAACAAAAAGACCTAAATGGAAGAGATATAATCATAACCATAAGGAAATGGTTAAATGAAACTGTTTTTTTTTCTAAGTTTTGCTTTTGATTATTTATTCCAACTCATGGTAGAAGTTGCATAATGGCACGGGTGGCTGTGATTAAGGTCACAATGGCACAAATTGGTACAAACTGAGCCAGAGCCGTAGCTTGCTAAAAATTTAAATTTTATTCATAGAACACTTGTTTTTGGCCACCCTTCTTGATTTTATCACCAAGGAAGATTGGGAAGAGAAGAAATACTCCCCCTAACTTCTTGACTATTATCAAATTCAGCATAGTGGTTATGTGAGCAAAACAGCAACATTACCTTTATTACATCCAGTTAGAGAGAATTTTACATTTTATGATGGCTGTTGGAGAGAAAAAAATTTGTTACATGAAAATAAAGGATGTCTAGGAGCTAAATAAACAAACATTTTCAGGCTAGCTCCTAGTGATAAAATGATATTTTTAATGCAGTGGTGACAAGTATAATAGTAGCAAAGAAAAAAAACAACAAAGAAAATAAATAAATAAATAACACACACCATAAACTCTGTGGGGAAAAGAATGATTATGCTCAATTTACAACTTGTCTTTTCAATAGGTATTGTTTTAGTAGGCATTGGAAGGAGAAATTTGGGAGGTCTTTCAACTAATGTGGAAGATTTTTCCAGAGGTTACAGCTGTAGATTGAATTGACTGTTTTCCACTATTCATTCTTTCAAAAAGAAACTTTCTTGCATCCAAAGAAAATGCCTGCAATGCAGGCTAGTGAACTAGTATTTGGTTTCATAAGAAATGACTTTTTAAAAGAGATTCTGACAAAACACCTTTCATTAGGATAATAGGTTTGATGTTCCAAAAGCCAAACGAACCACTGGAATTCCCCGCACTTTCCTGGGTACAACTAGTGAGGGAACAGCCTCGCCTCCAACCAGAGCATCACCCTCATTGCCAGAGTAAGTACTGTTTAAACGGAGATGTTTCATTTCCCAAAGACAGCATCCAAATTCTCTTCTGGCTACAGTAGTTGAAAAGTTTGAGAGCGCTATCCACTGGATAAATTAGCTATATATTTGGTGGATAAGTATTAGGGAACCAAATTATCCACTGGATGGAGATCTAACCTATTAAACAACTGGAGCCAGGGGCCTGTTTCTCAAAAGTCCCTGTAACTTTTCGGAACCAGAATCAAATATTTTTATCAGAATATAAATATAAGAACTTGGCTCTTAGCTAACTTATACTACTACATCAGAAATTACTGCAATTTGATTGGCTTAGAGCAGTGGTATTTCAGCTTAATTTGAAATACCTACATGAGAAAATTACAAACCTTTTGCAGGTAGTCGTATAAACAAGTAATAGCATGATTTGTACGTGATGTTTGGCATAAATACCACTCGTGATATTTCAAAATTGTCTCAAATTTCACTCACCTAGCGGCTTGTGAAATTATGTATAACAATTTCGAAATATCACTCGTGGTATTTATGCCAAATATCACTACAAATCATGATATTACCTATACAAATTTTGTTTGTTTTGTTAACTAATAGTTTTATTAAGTTTTCTGCAAAACTATTGAAACCTTTTTCTTCAATGTCAACAACAATTGTCTTTAGGCCTATTGTGGGTCCAAACGTTTTTGCATCTTTCAAGAAATTCACGCTAAGCCTGAATTTTTTTAAGGCTTTTCTTTTTTTTCAACCTGTTAGGTTGATGATATAACTGCAGAGATTGCATCCGCATTAAATTGTGTTATCTCTTTAGTTCTCATATATGTTTGTGTGGTAGTTAATTTTTTATCTCAGGTAATTTTTCTTTTCCCTTTGTTTCACTTTAAACAGCATACATTACCATACCCAAAAACAAAAGAAAAACAAAAATTACCTGAAATAAAAAATCAACGACAACATTTATTTTGTTTCACAGTTGGCATCTTTATAGCAAGCCAACATGTGCTCTTCAAACAGAGCTATCTCCAAGGAAAGGTTCCTTAGTTGTAGATTAATGAATTATTATTGTATTTTTATTTCCATACTGTAGTGGTGATTCAAAAACCAAAGCAAAAGACAAAGATTCTAGTAGCAAGAAAGTTCCCTCAGAACTAAGGTGCCCAAGCTGTAGCAATTTGTTGACTGATGCAGTACTCATTCCCTGCTGTGGAACAAGTTATTGTGATGACTGTATGTATCATTGCCTCTCATCACGAACTGATACTAGCATTACTGTTAAAACCCTCAAGGAAGAACTTGCATTTTCTCAAGTTAGCTAAAACAGGCTCCTGCAGGTTTTATTCTGGTAACAGAATAAACCAACTTCAATTTTTCCTAGCCTGTGCAGTAAACAGAACAAAACCTCTTGTTAAGTCCATCTGTGAAACAGCACCAAAATCCTTGTCTTGGCTCTCATCTGTTCACCAGGATTTGAGTACCCACCTTGATTGGCATTGTCAATTTGCCAATCAGGTTGAAGGGAAATTCGAAATGCATTTACAATTTGTTGAGTCTGATGGGGGCCAAGGACAAGGATATTGGTACTACTTTTCAGACATTACTAACTTAGTTTAGTTAAGTCTGCGATGCAGGCTATTCTTTCCTGTTTTTTCCAGTTCTTGTTATGACAATTGCCCCTTCTTTTGGTAGTTTGTTTTGTTTGTATTAAAACCCAGTAAAAAATGTATTTTTAAACAATACTTCTTTACTTTTATCAGGTATTAGAAACTATCTGTTGGAAAATGAACAAGAATGTCCATCTTGTGGCGCAGAGAATGTGTCGCCAGACTCATTAGTTATCAACAAGCAGCTTAGACAGGTAACTGTCACTTTTGGTGCACCTTTGATTCGCATTAGTATGGGTAGTGTTTTTTTTTCATAAGTTTATAGCAGCAGGGAAACTAACTTCACAAAAATATGTTATCCAAGATTGTAACTCAGTGGCCTTGCATATGGTTATGTTTGTCAAGTCAGTTATTTCTTAACCAACGGAAATATGAGGTTTCTTGTGGTTTGAAAACAACTTGAATTTCAGCTAAGAAAAAGCAGCATTCAAACTTTGTGAGCCATGGCTGATTGCATTGTCTAAGTTTGTAATTTAGTAAGAACATGACTTGCCTGGCTCTTTGGCCATTAGTCAAGAAAGTGTGAACATGACTCCTGGGTTCAAACCTTTCACAGTTTTAAAGTGTTAACAGTTACCTCACTATTCTAAAAGGAAAATCTACTTGTCCCTGGCAAATGGTCAGGACTGGTTTTTCATCACACCCTGGTTTCCTGGAGTCAAGACTTTTACTAAGGGCAGGGGAACAGGGATTTCCCATCGCATAAGCCTGGCTACTTTGAGAGGAAACAAAAAGAAAATAAATCCAGCTGTTCAATGCCCTACCTATTACTGCGTGAATTCTAAAGTTCAAAAGCCAACTGACATTTGCGTTTTTCACTGCCCTCAATCATCTTAGATGACCTCTTAGGAAACAGAAATTTACTTTGAACGACGGTTGCAAAAGGTCATGGTTTTGATTGATGATTGGTGAATTTCGATCTGTTTTGTGTGTTCCAGTGTTTCAAGGTGCGTTGCTTGTGATTGTAATTATGATTGATTGCAGGGAAAAATGCAATTGTGAAGGTGGTTTTTGATTTTCAGAGTTATTCTGTTTTTGAAAAGTGCAGTAAACTTGAAATTTTTGTAACAGCCCTGCTAAGTTGAAAACACAGTTAAAACTTTCAGCTCCAGAGCAATCACAAAAACATGGAAACCAGGCTTCACCCAGTTGTGCTATGTAAAAACGGGCACCCATTCAACAATGCAAAATTGATTCAACAAAAAAAAATCTTAGTGTTTCCTATGTTATTTTTCCTTTGTTTAGGCTGTAAATACCTTTAAAAATGCTCGTCCAGCCAGTCCTTATGTCGCCCCAGTAACAAAAGGTGCATTGGCTACTAATAAAAGTACAGAGGTGAAGTCCCAGCCAGCTTCAAAGGATGTTGCTGACAGGTAAAATTTCCACTGAAAAAAAGAACTTTATCAATATCTGAGTGTCAATGTATTTTTCACAAAAGTACTAATATTATTGGGGACACTACTTTTACATCTCCTACGGGAGATGGGACCACCATTTTACATGGTCATCTGAGCCACATGAAGGTCTAGCTGCTTGCAGGGAAAAGATATTTTAAGACCCCTGAGTATTGGTCCGGTCCCTGGAATCGAACTTATGACCTCCCACTCTACAGTCAAGCGCTCGACTGACTGAGCTAATCCGGCCACAGTTAAAAAATCTAAAAATATCGTCAAGAAAATCATTACCTCTGGCTGTGGTGATCCATGCTTTATGTCCCTTTGAAAGGAAATGGTCATGCATTATCATTAACTATCATTTGTGCCACATGTTTGGGAAGTTCCTTGAAATTTGTCTGATGTGATTATGTCTTCATTTCAGTGTGAGTGACAAAACTGTCTCAGAAAGTAAACCAGCTGTTGAAAATAAGGGTAATGCCACTGTTCTTTATTTTTTATGTGAGTTTATTGTACCCTACACAACACTTAAATAATTGATTGTGAGCATGAAATCACTGATATCATGGGTTTTGTCTCTTTAGTAGTGAAAGAAATAAATGATAATGAGAGAAAAACAAGGGAAAGTTCACCAAAAGTGAGTACTACAACTTCTTTATAGTATTAAGATCAATTAGAGGATAACGTTATAACACAGAGAGCGTCACAAATTTTGTAACGTATTTACCTTTTCATCGTGATGTGTGTGTGCGAGAGTTTCCAATGATCTGATATCCATAAACCAAGTTCAACAAAATGAGTAAAAACTTTTTGAAGCTGAATTTGAGATATTTAGGTATTGGATAAATTAGCTGTTTGATGACTTATTGTTCTTGAAAAAAAATCCCAATAAAAGCCTGCAAATTTGTGGGAAAATAAAATAGTGTTATTTTGTATAGAGTTTTTTTTTTACGCGATTTTGGACAGTTTCTTATTAGTTGCCTATGAGACATCCCGCGAAAAGTTAGTTTAAAAATGTCAAATTCTGTTGATAGGCAGTTTCATACTACTTGCGGTGTATAATTTCCATTGTTACAGAAATATGGTATTATCATACCATATCACTTAATGACTGGTCCGTAAGGAAACAGTTAGTTTTGTTTCCCAAGGGACCTGTCTTTAAGTGATTAGTTGTATAGCTAAAAATTCATTAAACCTCACTGAAACGTTAGTCGTCAGTCAACATTAGTAGGTAACAGTGCACTGTTACCCTCTGACATCATAGATTTTGCAATGTTGCCCACTCAGAGATTTTGGTGGGAAACAGTTTCATTATTAGATGTCATGTGACCTTGAAGTAACCAACGAGAGCAGGCACTGTTGGGAAAACATTTCCAGCTATATAACAATAAAATTTGTGACTGTGCTCTTTTCACCTTTACACAGCCTCCCCAGGTAGTCAATCCACCAGCAAGTGAACCACAACCCATCAGAGTCCACCACCGAGATGCCATGTCACAACAAGGTACATAGATCCTTGATTTTGTTTCAGTCACTTGCCTGCCTGTTGTTCGCATTCGACGAGCAACAACACAAAAATTTTATATGAATAATGTTAATTGACCAGTTAATCAAAAGCATTTAAGTACAGACGTTTCTGTTACAAAGACACATAACTCTATGGAGTCTCACAGTCGCCTATATTCAGGTATGTTATGAGCCAATTAATGACCAGCCCCCAGTTGGCTTCCTAGCTCAATTGGTTAGAGCGTTGCACTGGTGTCGCAGATCTCCACAAGCCTGAATTTTTTCAAGCTTTCTTTTCGCATCTGGACAAGTTGCCTATTTAACTGTGATTATCTTCCTTGCATTTATTTCTATGGAGTCTAATAATTTATAAAAAAATGTTCTTTTAATTTTACTCAGGTGCTGGTTTTAAGCCAGCTGGAGCCCCATTTGACCCTCGCAGAAGACAAGGAGACTTCCACCCAAGGTAACCAACGCGAAGCTTTTTAACCCTTTAGGTCCCAAGAGTGACCAACATCAATTTTCTCCTTACAACATCAGCAGATCATCAAGAGTAAAGGTTATGAGAATTACTAAATTGATTACCAAAGGGAGAATGCTTTGATGTTAAACTAAATTCTCTCAACTGTTCTTAAAAGAAATGTATGGAGATCAGTCTGGAGAATTTGTGTGTCGATCTTGGGGATTAAAGGGTTAACACTCTAGCGGGTGGTTTTTCTCATCTTTTGTGCTTTACACATGACTGTCTCCTGCTAATGTGCTTGGCTGAATAGAGCCTGTTATACCTGCCATTAGCACACTTAAACAAAAGTATTGCCCTTGCATGGTAGCGTGCGCACCCCTTGCACCCTCCCCCCTATATCCGCTCCTGTGCCTTGAAGGCAATCTGTGGTATGGCTGCCGACATAGCCCTGGAAGAAATCCTAGCTTTTTAAACCAATCATTTGTTTGTTTATATTACAGAGGGGCACCTCGGGTACCTGATGTCCGCCATGGATTGCCTGAACCTGTCATACCTCATGGGCTCCCGCCCGATCACGTACCTCGAGTCCCGGCTGTAAGGCCTAATATGCCAGGTCCATCTCATCTAAGACCTCGCATGAACGTACCTGGTTATATGCCTGTCATGCATGCAGCGATTCCGGCACCAGCCGTTCCTCACATACCTCCTGTCCCTACCATGGTGAGGCCAGCCCTACCCCACCACCCAGCATTTGGAGCGCCAGTCTTTGACCCACTCCACCCTGTTGATGTATCTAGGTCTCTCACTCCTCCCATGTCAGAACGGGAATTCTACAAAATGCAAAAGAAACTCAAATCAAGGTAATTCCTGGTTTTCATTTGACGTCACCAAAATTCAAACTTACGGAAATGTTGATTCCTCTGACTTTCTACTTTCATAAGGTGTTACAGCAGCTAAACACCTTTATTCATACAAATTTTCGTTTCGAAAGGGTTCTTCGATTTGCGATTAAGGACGCTTGAATATCAATGCTTTTGCGTGTCGCGGGAGTTAGCCGGCGGCCGGGAAAGCTCTTATGTGGGTTTAAAACGTTACCATTTTTTGGAGATTTTGGTATCTCAACATTCCTTGTCTCAGAATAAATATTACTTTAATCTTAAAGAGTTCCTCAAGCGATGAATTCACGCATTTACACAAAAACTCAAAGACAGACTCTCTGGCTTCCGGCGGCCATATTTGTACCCCTTAAAGGGACACCAACATGGTGTCTCCATACAAAGTTTTTTAAGTTTGGGTAAAACATTTCTCCAAATATCTCGCATATAAAATATCGCACAGAGCTGATTCTTACCGAGGCTTTTTGTACGTTCATCTTCTTTCATTTCCCAGATTCTCGACTGGTTTCCATGGCGGGGGAAAGAAAACAGCAAACCTTGTGTGTCAAGCATGACAACAATTTTGTTTGAAAAAAATTTTCGCCACACTTTTCCTTCCTTTACAGAGATTTTTTTGTAAAAGGCCTTAACAAAGTATTGTTAAGTGAAGATCCAAACAAAACTCGCAAGTAATAGCCCTGTCACGTTGGTCACACACAAGCATTTTGCCGTCGTCTTCTTTCAGCCGTCCTGTTGCTTACGCTCATTAGTAGCTGTCCTGACTGTTTTTATTTGTCATGTTTAGGAAAAAGAAACATGAACATCCTTCATCAAGTTACCCCTCTCGCGAGTCGCGTTCAAGAAAAGAGCCTAAGAAGGACACTAAGAAAGACCCGGCTGGCGGCCTTTTCGACTTTGACGACGAACTCTCCGAATACAGAAAACTTCAGAAAAGCCGTCAGCGATTACGCTCTCGCTCTTTGACTCCGTCACGCTCAAGGTCACGTTCTCCATCGCGATCACGCTCACGCTCACGCTCACGCTCACGGTCTATTTCACGTTCAAGGTCACGGTCTCGATCACATTCGTCGCAAAGCCCTGCGCGATCGCCGACTCCTGAAGGATGGGACGAGTCACGCTCTCCTTCGCCTAGTTCATCTCGCGGCAAAACTGAGACTGGTTCCGCTGAGGAGAAGAAGAGAAAGCATAAGAAAAGGAAGAAGGAGCAGAAGGGTAAAGAACGCAAGAAACAGAAAACGTCTCATGCCAAACAAGGCGAACCTTCTACAGAGCAGAAAGAAAAGGCTGTTGGTGATAAAAATGCAGCGAAATCGTCGGAGAAGAAAAAGCACAAACGGCCGGTAAAGGACAACGCCAGTAATAAGAAAACGGAGGAGGAGAAGGATACGGGAAAAATTGTTGGAAAAGAAAAGGATGTGAAAGAAGTGAAGGAAAAAAGAAAGGAGAAAGTGAAAGAAAAAGAGAAAGGGAAGAAGAAGGAGAAGGAGAGAAAGAAAAGTGGTGATAAAGAAAAGGGGAAAGAAAAAGAAGAAAAAAGGAGTAAAGAGAAGAAGAGAAAGAAGGACAAAAGCAAAAAGGATGAGACATCTTCCGGGAAGAAGCGTAAGAACAAAAAGAAACACAAAAAGCATAAGCGACATAAGAAGGAAAAATCTAAAGATGAGAACAGTGGGGATGAAGAGGGGACAAGCGATAGTAAGGCAAAGAAAAGTGATGACCCAGGGGTCTCCGCTGGGGATGAGAACCCTGATGAGAAAAACAGTACGGAAGAACAGGAGACACATGACAGCGATGAAGGCGCGCAACAAGATGAGAGCGAAGAGGAAGAAAACGAAAGTAGTGACGAAAGAATGAGTGGGGAGGAAACGAAAGGGGAAGATGATGATGAAGAAGAAAGGAAGGAAATGGAAGAAAGAGTAGGAAGTGAAGAAAAAGAGGAAATTAGGAGTGATGAGATTAAAAGCAGTGAAAAAGTGAATGAGGAAGGAAAGAAGGAAACGGAAAAATCAAGTGGGAGTGAAGAAGAAATGATATGTGATGAAGAGCAGGAAGGAGGAAAAAAGAACGAACGTGGCAAGGAAGTAGCCAATGAAAGTGAAGATGAAAAACTGGGAATTAGTGGAAGCGATGGCGAGGAGGAAGTTGATGAAGAGCAACTGTTAGGAAACGGAAGTGATGACAACGTAGAGGCAGAGGAGAAACTGACAGGAAACGGAAGTGTCAAGGATAAGGAAGCGGAAGTGGAAATAGACCGCACAAAACTGGAAGAAAACGGAAGTTGTGGTGAGATAGAAAATGGAAATAATATGGAAAATAAAGGTTTCGGTGGTAAGGAAGACGGATTTTATGGAGTCGAAAGTGAAATAAAGGATGAAGTACTGCAGGGCAATGAAAAACAAAAAAATAAGGAGGCGGATATGAAAAGTGAAGAAGAATAATGGGTGAGAGTCTAAGTAGTCACGTGAGAGGATCGACGAACAGAAATGAACAGAACAAGATCAAAGAAATACGTTTGTGAAAGCCACACTAGAATGACGGTGGTAAGAATAGATTTCAAAACACGGAAAGAAAGTCGAAAGAAGACATGTTCTAAGAACAAAACGAAGGAAAAGAAAGGAATCCAAGTTAGTCTTTTAAAACAAAATGCCTTTGAAATAACCTCTTTTGTCAGCATCATTCTGCATCGATATCAAAATATCATTTCTAGTGCTTATTTCTTTAATCGCGTAAAAGGTTAGTATGGAATTGGATATAAGATTCAAGGTAGCTTGAAAATCTTGGTAATAACGCTCTGGATTAAGCAGAAGCTGTGACTACCATTTATTTATAACATCCCTTGGTGGATAAGTTGTCACAAAAAAATTTTGAGATAAGTTTTTCCAAGAAAAAGGGATGTGATAAGAAAATCCAACAGAAGAAATCCAAGCTAGCGGCGATTTCCTTTTTTTCCGTTTCGCTCTTTTCATTCTGGTGCCCACGAACCTTGCCTTTCAGGTTGTCTTTAATATCAACGTGCATCTTCTCCATGCTGTTTTGCACTAATGAGGAGAAATTGTTGGAAAAGTAAACACATTTTTGTCTTTCGCGATCATCATCTTGATTCTTCTGATTTTGATGTTTGGTTTGTCAATGATATTGTCAGGAGAAATTATAATTTTAGTCAGTATTATAGTTTCAAGGTGAAGGAGAAAATTGCTAACCCCTCGTTAGAGTGGTTACTGTAGTATTACAGTGTATTAAATGTATAACATGTAGTTAGAGGTAAGAGGAATGTGTTGTATACATGTGTGTAATTTTTGTTCTATAAAAGAGCCGAAAAAAAACCAACCTGACAATTTTTGTATGCCATGTAAATTTCAACCATTTGTACTTAGTTAATATAAGAGCCAATAAATTGTATTTATTTTGATGTAAAAAAAATCGCTTGCTTCAATGTGTAGCTACTTTTGCTATGATGAAATACCAGAGTCATAACAAGCGTCCTGTTTGGTTTGGGCGTTTGTAAACCCCCTTTCTACGCTTTCCTCTAAAGCCCACCCCCTCCCCCTCCCTTTCCTCGCGCGCCCTAGGCGATGACTCTTATTTCGGATAAGAGAAACGGGGGCGGGGGGAGGGAGGAAGAAAAAACTCTTTTTCCTTTTTCCTTTTTCCTCTTTCTCTCCTTTTCCTTCCCATCACTTCCGGCTCGAGCTAAATAAATGGATGGAGGGGACGGCTGCGGGGGGAGGGTTGAGTCCATCATCAGGACTAATGTATTGTTTATTCAGTTGGTCAGGGAAACTTTGTGTTTGTAAGGAAAAAGTCAGGGAATTTCAGACACCTCTGTATGCCTGTAGCAACCATGGCTTGTCTCCAGCACCCTCCCCCCCGTCCCCCACCCCACACACACACACACACACACTAAGCCTTGAAAATGGCTTTGGAAGAGGCAGGCACGAGAAAAGGGTCGAGAATCTTGTTTAAGCGGCAGTTGCATGTTCCGCTTATAATTTCAACGGTAGAGAAACAGAAACCTTTTCTAGTAGCCTGCGGCTACACGTAAGCTACCTGTTGAGCAACCTGGGTCAGCATTGTGGTTGACATCTTTGGAAATAGGACAGTTGCACGATGACGTCATCATACTGCAACTGCTAGAATACTTCAGTGTTGATGTTTTCTTGAGCGAATGTTCAGCCTATTGATTTTAACCCTCAGCGGGATTGACAAATTTATATCAGAAAGTTAAAAATGAAATTAGTTATTGTAGTTGTAATTAAATGTCGTCAACGTGAAAATGGCCTATTGGAAAAAAAAAAAAAAAATCAGTTAATGAGTTAACAAGAGTGAACGTTAGATTTAAATGGAATAGTGGCTGATAAAACCATCTACATCAAAGAAAACTCATACATTAGATTTAGAATCACTTTTACGGTAAACGGCAAATGTCAAGTGTACCACGTGACCAAGCTTTTACTTGTAGTTGAATGTTCTTTACTTCTTCACAAAATTAAGGGTCATAGAAGTTTTATCCAGAGAAACTGTTCTGGACAGTTTTTAGCAGCTCATTTTCTAATCAGAGAAATTATCAACTTAAATCTGAAGTTTGTTGTTTGCACGACTGCAACGGCAACGAGAACGTCAAAAATTCATTAAGGGTTAGACTACGAGTAGTCTCCCATTTTTCCTCATGGATAGTAGAGCGAGCGAAACGCGAGCGCGTGAGAAATGGCGGCACGCGGCGGGGAGAGAGAAATTTTTCTTTCTCCCCACCGCGTGTCACCTTTTCTCGCGTGGGGTGATTTTCACGCGTGCTCGCGTTTCGCACGCTCTACTATCCCTGAGGAAAAATGAGGGACTACTCGTAGTCTAATTAAGGGTAGATTGTCAAAACAACAACTCCGCACGTGCATCACGCTTTTTTGTACATTTCTTTGCCGTCATTGCACGACTTCACGTGAAAATGCCTCATTTCCCGTCTCATTGAGGACGTAAACAAGCGACGCAAAATTTTCATTCCCTTTCTGAACTTGGATATGGTTTTTAGGAATTCAACTTCAGGAGAGTTCGCCTACATTTGGCAAAGTAAGTAAGTTGAAATAATAGCAATGAAGATTGAAAAGACGCGAATTCACTTTTTAAGCGACATTTTCGCCGCCGCTGCCGTCCAAGGATCTTAAGGGCCCCTATTTCGCACGTAAACTAACACAGAGCACTATTTCCCAAAAAACTTTCTGACTCAATATCAAGATGCCAAATAGCTTTATTCAATAGCACTCTATTTACAGACTTGAGTTCGTTCAGAAATCATTATCGCTGTCATTAAGACTGTTAGCTTGGGACCCGTCATCCCGGCCTTCCCCGCGGCCCTCTTCCATGTCGTCATCGTCAAGAAGTTCTTCGTCATCATCGTCATCCACGCCGATATCGCTCTCCCCGGACGACAAGGAACCACTCTCGTCCTACAAGAAATAGATTCAAAAAATCAATAAGTCGTGAGTATCAGCGTTTCACACTTCTTGGTTATTACCATGGCGACTTTGATGGTTCTCACCGTCACTCTCGCTTACTTGAAAAAATCTACTGGGGTACTTATCATTTACACGGAAAAACCGTAAATTCCGGCTGGAAATTCAAATGGTTAGCGCCATTCCGTTTGGGAAACTTCAAAAAAACATGGGCTGTTATTTGAGGTGATGCAATTTTTTTACTCTTTTAAATCGGTTCAGCTAAAATGGACATACTTCGTAGCGGGTCGTTCTTCCACCACGTCAAATTTTTATAGTTTTATGTTTATGCACAAGATTTCACCCGGGGCGGGGCGGTGCAAATGGTAAGCACCCATGATCACTACTGACCTCATCAGAGTCCAGACCGCCTCCCATAGAACCAAACACGCGGCCACCGGCTTCAGCGGCTGTAAGTAACATGAAGACAAACAAAATGAGAAATTGGAATTTCAACGTGACGAACTATCAATCTAACATGAATCTAACATGAGAATTCACGAAATGGTCACCAACGATGAAATTTCCAGTTACATCAAATATTGATTTCCCGAAGCTAGCTTAAAGAGGTTTTCTCACCCAACGCAAGGAAATCCAAAACAGTCCTCGATTCTGGATTCCAGGCCGTGGATTCCAGATTCCAAGTACTGAACTTCGGATACTTTGTCAGTGGAACTGGGATTCCAGATTTTAATCGTTGGTGGGATTCACAAGCAACAATTTCCCGGACTCTGGAATCCAGATTCCCTTTCACTAAAGAAGAAGTCTGTATGAAGGCTATAACGGAAGATTTTTTATGCCTAGATACCTTGAGGCCTGTTGGACTGTCGTGTGTTGCTTGCATCAAGAACAATTTCATCCTCTTCATCTCCTTCATCATCTAAACCTCCAAGTTCCTCTCCAGCAGTGAGTCCTCGGCCATGGTCTCCAGCTTGCATGTTTCTTAGAGTTGCTTCTGACTCCTACCGGATATCAACAACAAAAACAGACATAATTGTCCCTTTTCGAGTTCAAAAACCTCTCACTTTCAAAACGAAGCTAAGTGCAAAATTCGCATTTAGCCTCACATTGAAACAGAGGCTTTGGGCAACTTGAAAATGGCCAATTGCTTAAAACTGGAATGAAAGGTCACGACAGGGAGAAACAAAAAACATAGCCTTAACCCTTTAAGCCACAATATCCACATAGAAATTCTCCAGACTGATCTCCATGCATTTCCTAAAAGAATTAGTTGGGAGAATTTGATAAAAGATCAAAGCATTTTCTCTTAGGTGAAAATTTTGAGAAAACTGATGTTGGCCACTCAAACCCTGAACGAAAAAGGAAGGATAGTTGAAATCTCTCATCAAAATCGCATCGAAACTGGCTGTGCTTGCAAGGGTGTGCACACAAAGAAAATGCAAAACAGATGTGATCAGATCTAAAATCAGTTTTTCTGGTACCTCAAATTTGTCTTGTTCAGCCCTGTTGATGTCCTCGAGTAACTGTTCTTGGTAGGATAAATTTCGGTGTTTTTCCATAAATACCTGTAATAAAGTCAACACAAGGATACTTAAACATGGAGGGAAGGGGTTCCAAACCTCCAGCCTCCTTACCTTGCATTCTTGGTTCCAGTACCTCTATTCAATTGCAAAATATTGAGGATTGTTGTGCAATTTCCCCCAGACTTATCCCGGCACCCAGCCATTTAGAACTCCTGCCTCCAGTACCCCTCCAGCCCCCAATTTTCCCAGGCTCCGACCTCCGTATCCTCCCTCGCTTCATAGAACAACAAGTAACACACAGAAGCTTACAAAACAACACTACAATGTACCTCATACACTTTCTTGAGTTCCTCCTCAAGTTTTTCATATTCATCCATGTAAGCAGGCCTACAAAGGCAACAAGAATCAATAATTGCTTAACTAATGGCCTTTGAATGGTCAACTTCAGCAAAACTTAAAAGTTATGCAAATGTTCTGCAAAAGAGCTAAAGAGGTTTCATTTGAATGGTAACACCACAGGATTTTCCCCAAAGACTTAAAAGTTAGAACTACATACTACATGTAAATAAATAGTACCATGTGAAAGTACTGTCAAAGATCTTTCATTTGAACGGTAACACCATAGGATTTTGTCCACAGATTCAAAAGTTAGAAAAACATACTAACTAAATAACACCATGTGAAAGTACCATCAAAGAGGTTTCATTTGAATGGCAACACCATAAGATTTTGTCCATGGATGTAAAAGTTACAATAAAAAATCATTCCACCATAACTTGGTCAAGGAGGAAAGGATTAAGGGACCAATGAAAAATGTAAACTGAGAGAGACTATTGCCTGTAACTCTTACCGGACAGTCTCAAGACTTCGCAGTCTCTTCTGGTTTCTTTCCAGTTCTTGTTTTTTCTTGTCTATTTTGGCTTCCAGGTTTGCTTCATCAGAAGCAATGTTGTCCAACATCTGATTGGTCTTCTTTATTTCATCCTGGACAAAAGTAATTAAACGTAACTTATGGAAATAATTCAAAGTGAATGTAGTTAAATTAAAGCTTTTGTCATTTCCTGAGCTTAGGTTTATTATTGTAATAATATTACAAGCTTATAGACCCAATGCAAAAATGGCTGCTGGATTAATATTAATACACACAATAGCCATGAGCAGTTTAATGTACACTTTTTTTAAGCACTGTTTGATCACCTGAACAGAAATTACACTCTTCTTGATTCCATTTTCCAACTCGTTTAACTCCAGTGGTTTAGCTATTGCACTAGTCCTTAGCTCCTGAAGAAAAATACAAAATATGAAAAAAAACGTGGCAACAGACTTTCCTAACGAAGCCTCTAAGAGACCACAATGAAAACAATATTAACAATATAGCTAACTGAAATTGACATTTGAGGAACTCTAGGTTACATGGGAAGTGGATGAAAAAAAATACCGTAAAATTTCAAAAACAAGCCCCAGGGCTTACATTTTCCAAGTACAAGCCCTCGAGGGGCTTATATTTGGAGGGGCAAATTAACGGAGGGTTTTCTGCGTTACGAGTTTGGGGGGCTTATATTTGGAGGGGCTTATACATGGAGGGGATTATTTTCAGACTTTTACAATATTATTCAGAGATGCAGAGACTCAAATTCTAAATAAGCATTTGACTACAATGTGCAAAAGTAATTATTCTGGCCATTTGCAATCATATGCACTTACCCTTAGTTCAACTTCCCTGCCCAGTAAGTCATAGAGTGCAGCTCCTCTTGATGTGATTTCTGATGCAAGCTGACGAGATGCTTTCAAGTCACTTATCTGAGAAAGTAGATGTTTGATGGCTAGTCACTATAAAGGATTACAAATGGGGGCTACACAGCTAGCAGGCAAATACACATGTAACACAAGATATCCACTTGAAAATAAATCGTGTATATCAGGGTGCTCATATACATTTAGTTTTAAAGCAGTTGCCTAGAAACAGCGACACAGGGCAGCAGAAATGGCGACAAATGACACCAAGATGGGTTGAAACTGCGACAGTGACAGAGAAAAGCGCAAATACAATAGTGAAATATTGAAAGCCACATGGCTTTCTCCTCAATACGCGAAACAACAGGTTTTGAAATTCAGACCAGGGACATACATAACCCTCCTAAGAAGGGCCTCACCAATGGACATGAAAATTCTGTATAAAAAAATATAATAATTATATTTTTTGGGTTATGGAATTTTACATGTTAAGTTAAGATTACTTACTCTTGATGAGATATCAAATGTCAAGGAGCTCACATTGGATTCTTCAGATGCCTTTGAATTAACAAGAAAAACGTAATTTCATGTTTTAAAACCAGCAACAGCTTTTTTCAGCAAATTCACAAAGGACAAGGGTTCGTACATAATTTATAGCACCTACCTGATTTCCTGCATTTGTCTTCATGGCACTGTACAGAACTGACGTTACTTTTAGCAATTCCTTGACAGCATACCCATCAGCACCATAAAGCTTCTTAGTGTTCAGCTTGATATGTGCTTTGGTTGCCTGCATTGAGCAAAAAAAAGCTAAAACATCAGTACTACAACAGAACGCTGAGGGAACAGTTTTGTCCACTCTAAAAAATGCTTTGGATTGAAACCCACCAACCATGAGATAGTGTGGTTTGTGATACACCAATCAAAAGCAGTTGATACTAGTAGTCCCACTCAGTAAATTGTCACTAAAGCCTGGAGAAGACCTGAAGTACGGGGTTGAAATGTTGCAATTAATGACTAAAAGTGACTATCAAGAAAGAAACAATAAACAAAACTTTTTCAAATTAAATTTAATTCCTTTCCTTCAGGTGTTACTTCTCTAAGCTCAGAATGAGCAAGTGGCCTTCTCTACGATTTGTCACTAAGAGCTACAGTTGAACTGAAATAATCTAAAGAAAAATAATTGTCTGATGAATACCATAAACTGAGCCAGCGACTTTATGAAAAGCACTCTGTCTTGTTCTGTGTCAACATCTGTTGGCAACTCAACATTAGGGTCATATCTAAAAATAGAAGTAATACAACTAAGCCAAAGAGCCTGCTTCATGGATGATAAAAGTACCAGTATTTAATTACTGAAAGGTGGTTAAGGGAGAAAAATACCAAGCACTCGGCTCAGGGTCTGGAAGGGTATTTTCGGAATTTGACCAAAATACGGTGCGGGAATCGGGAAAACGATAAATATATTGACAGGATCAGGGATTTGACTGTTCCCTGGGAAGCGGGACTCGCCAAAAATTGGGCACGGGATGCGGGATTTATGTTTGCGTGTCTGTCGGGAATGCAGGAAACCTTTAAAAACACGCGTAAATTCAAAATATAAATCGAAAGGATCAACCTACATCTTACATTAATTTTATTAGCTTTTGTAGAAATTAGACTTTTTAATGTATTTTTCTGAGAAAGAAAAGCGGTATTCGGGAAACTGATGAAAAACGTGGGGTATGCGGGATTCTCGCGAAAAATACAGGATCAGGACCCCCCCTTCCAGACCCTGTTGGCTGTGCTCTAGTAGCACTTTGTGGCCCCTGGCATTTTACTTTTGATCTTGAGAGACAGGGAAATCTTTGTTTTTTATAGAAATCATATGCTAAGCACCCTGGATTTAACAGGTTTTTTTTTAGTACCAGGTTTCCATCAGCAACCCCACCCCACCCCCACAAGCCCCACCCTGGCCCTTCTGATCAGCACGGTCACTAAGATTTCAAGTTGCCAAGTAAATGCAATTAAAAGGCAAGGAATTGAACAGGTAGGACGTTTTTTCATTCTATTTTCTGTTTGATTTCTCTCAAAGTGGATGGGGGTAGTGCTCATAGTTGCCAGGGGAAGGCCCCATCCCCTGGCCCTCAGTAACAGCTCTGTCTGAGAGGGGAAGGTAAAGAATAGGGAGGAGAGAGAAATGGCCTGAAAAAGTACGGAGGAGGGAGATTTACCCTTCTGTACCTCCCTGCTCCTGTCTGATGTTTCAGATTTCCCTTTCAAATTGCCTTGTGCTTTCTTACGAAACAAATCGGGAATTTTTGATAAGATCAAAAGTTATAGAGACTTTTTTTCCATGCAACTTATCACCTTAATAAGTTTCAGAACGTGAAAATAGGCTGCGTCCTAAACACACAATCAAACCCATTACCTCCCAGCCACTGCTCTTTTAGTGACGGAGGAATACTAACTGAGTTTATAAGTTGATATTTACCTTCTAACAAGCCACATCAAGACCTCGGCGACCAACGGAAAGTTGGGAGAACGAAAGTTCTCCATCGATATGAGTCTGGGATAACCCAGGGCTCGCATCATTTCGGTAAAATCTACAAAAAGAAAAGACGTGGTTTCAGTGTAGATTTAGGTCCATTGCCTTAAGAGATAGTTGATGTCAACACTACAAACTTAAGATGATAGAAAACAGAATCAGAAGCCGGAATATTTCACTTACTTCTCAAGTCACGGTAAGACATTTTTCTCCTTCGCAATATTTTTGACGATCAAATAAGAATGCGCATAATCACAAAAGAAACCGCTGACTAAACTGTCAGTAGTTGTTTACAATGTTACTATGGAAACGAAGGTCAAAGCGGGAGAAACAAAGATGGCGGCAAGTCCAGGGGCAGAAGAAGATTCTGTTTATGACACGGGAAGATTGTCTTTATTTGATATTATTCTGGAAAAAACCCGTGCTCAAAACAAGGTAAAGAAAACCTCTTCTCATTTTTGCATTTTAATTTCTTTTTGTCGAAAAATTACCATGAATTATCCCTCTAAAACTCATTTGATATGCAAGTGTTTACAAGTTGAAACTGTTAATATGAAGGTTGAACGATGCTTTATAAGCTTATATCTTCATTTGATTGCAGAAACAACTTGTCCATCGTCTAGTTTATGTATCCAAAATTCGTCAGGATGTAAATGATCGGAAAGAAATTGGAGGTAGGTTGCTTCTTACTTTGTAATGTTATTGTTTAAATTGTAAACGGCACAGTAAAGAAATAAACAAACAGGGCAAATTATTGCCCCATTTGTTACATTTTTACCTTGCGCCTAATCATTTTAAGACATAATCAACTCTATCTTCCATCCATGGACCTTTCCTTAAACACAGTAGGTGTTATACCAACGTGTTTATGTTTTTATTGTATAGAGAGTTTTTTAGTTTAAAACAGACCACTCATTAAGTTCATAGGAAACTACATCCGAGACTTAAGTAGCGTATTTTCCATATCTACGTATCTGAAGCTGACATAAAATTAATCTTCCTCTGAGGAGCAAGAGAATGTTGATACGAAGAAGAAATCTTTGTTTGACTTTAAATTATTCAAGGATCTCCTTACAAATGAAGACAAAAGGAGAAAACTTCAAGAAATTCCTGTCACCAGACTACAGCAGTTCACAATAAAGTTTGCGCTGTTTTTATAACAAACACACAATAACAATATTTTACTCACTCTCTGCGCTCGTTCGTATACTATTGTTCTCACCACTCAAAAATAAAATTCATATCTTCACACAGCTTTGTAATATCCTCTACATATATAAATACATTCAACCAGTTTGGTAATGAAGTTAGCAGAGTACTGAAAAGGGTAACCTGTAGACAACATGTGACTGCCATGCAAATATGTTGTATGGTGTGTAAATTGTCCCATCACAGTCTCTATCTAGATATAATTTAGTCAAAGTTAAGTTTCCTTATGTGGTCACCCTCAGGAAGCAGAAAAGGTGATCTGCAACTGAAGTTGGCTGCTTACACCACCGTATTTCTTGCATTGCGGAGAGTTCAAATGCAATTTTGTCAATGCTGCCTAAGTAGCACTGCCCCCCTTGCAGGAGTGTCTACTAAGAGAGTTTTTTGTCTGTAAAATACTGCATCAATTTCATCTTAACTGGTGTGACATCCACATAATGATAAAAAAATCCTTCTAAGCTGAAAACTGACATACCGTAATCATAGTCCATAATCTTCTTGACCTCTAGAAGCAAATACTGTTATCAAGCAGGCTCTCTTGACCTTTAAAGGGAAAGTGGGTGTTGTTGAGAAACTACTCTCGATGTTTTTGGATTTGTTGGTGTGTGGTTAACTCTTGGGGATTTTTAATATTATTTCAGCTCACTATGAAAGGTTATTCAAGGACTTACAAACACAAATCCATGGTGAAGCAGTCACAGGACTCCTTCTTATTTACCCAGTTCACATAATTCATGTCATAGAGGTAAGAGAAAATATCTTTTGCAAAATTGTGTGTTCCACGCATACGGTACTTTTATTTACTCATTTATGTCAGTCATGTATACATTTTATTCACACTCTTTAACATTTGCTCATGCATTATATTCCTGACATTCAATAACCTGTATTCACTTTCCTCTTTTCAATCTTCAAAATAATAAGTAACTTGAAAACTTTTCTTTAAAGCATGAAAGTGACAGCTCAAATTGAACCGTGAAATATTTCACGGAAATATTTTATTGTATGAGCTGTGTGACAGGTCCATGTTTTAAATTTATTAGGAATACATGGCAACATTGAGGAATATATTTCTGACCATTGTGTATTATTGTTCTTTTACGTGTGAAAGGCAACTTTATACTTTTTTGGTGCCCTTGCATTGGACATTAAGCTTAAAATATATACTCAAACTGATGTTTTTGACTATACTACTGAATATTCAACCCAGTTTTGTTTTGTTTTGTTGTTTTTTGTAAATTTCCAGAAATAAGCAAGCCAAGGGGGGCAATGTGTACAGTGCCAATACTGTAACAATATAACAATACTATAACAGTTTATGATCAGTTTCGGCAAAGTTTTCGCATTGTTACCAAAATTTATAACACCAAAGCACTATCTGAATGTTATCTATTGTTCTGTAGACTTCTTATAACATGCTTCTCAAAGTTGTAAAGGACTTGGTAGAAGATGAACAAAGTATAAGGTAAAAACAACTGTAATTGATGCAACCTAGTAACACAAAGACTGGAATCATACCTCTAGGGCGTGGTTGTCTTACACCCCCCTGTAATGTTGGCTCCCATCCTTTTTGTTCCCACTGACCATTCTTATCATGGGGTGACAACCTCATCAGCACCTTAAGTACATTTGGTTTTTTTGCCCCTAATTAAACTTGCTGTAATAATAAACAAATTATTTGTTTATATTTTTGGAGGTTAATGAACATCTTAAATATATTCAGTTTTGTTTCACAGAGAAAAAACATTTTTAAGTATGCTCCACCTTAAAAGGTTATTCCATTGTAAGAGGTATTATATTTTGTTTACAATAAAATGCAAAAATTCCTATAAAAAGGCCTAACTATCATAAATATTTTTTGGCAGTGGTATGCTACTAAACACCAAAATTCTTGTGTGCACTGGTGATGTATCCTTTTTACTGCTGTTTGTACTACCAAGAAGACCATAGAGATTAATACTGTAACCCATTTACTCTCGGATATTTTACCAAAAATTGCCTTTTGATGCCAGTCTAGCTGTTTTCTGGTCACTGTCTGGCTACAATGAGCAAAAACTGGTATTTATAAGTCAAACACTTTGGGGACTTCTGTTCCACATCAATGCAAAATAAATATTAGCTATTCTGAAGTTTCAGCATGTGCAGAAGCATAAGTGGTCAGATTCATTGCATATTTAGGTGGGATATTGTAACAACTGAATTTCACTTACCAGTGACATGAAGAGAAACATCATAATTTTTGTAAAACAATGTACTCCAAAATACCTTAACTGTAGCAAGCTCAATAACCGTTTATTTGGCCAGTGGAGTTTTAGAACTCTTAATCTTGCTGCTCCAAGAATACAAGAGTTTACAACAAATGAACCTATAGATGTTGTGGTAAGTCTTTTTATAAGTACAGTGGCATTTGGTACTCACTGACAGTTGCTCAGTTACACTCTATTGAGTAGGCATACTATATTGTAAATAATACAGTGCAACTGCTTGTTCAGACACCTTTCTTTTACAGACACTCTCCAAACATAAACACCTCCCTATTATAGGCAGTTCTCTTGCTCCCAATAATACTAAACTTCATACAATTGCTACCCCTCTAATATTCAGACACCTCAGTGATGCAGACACTTGGCTCTTTCCCTTTTGTGTAGATGTACTAGGGCGTTTTTTTTCAAAGTTTTAACTGTCTGAATGCTATATAGCCGTCCATGAGTTGCAGGCAATGAATGAAGTAGTCTGTTTTATGCTTAATTCATGGACATGCAAAAAAATTTATCTGAAAATTAAGGAAATCCTCCTCTGGAAGCAGGTTTAACCCCTCATATATACTAAATAAATGTTCTAGACTTCTCTAACAATCGTTTTAGTTTTAGACCTTTTCCATACAATTTGACTTCAGAACAGTTTACACGGTAATCCTCAGTCATAACATTGAACCCAATCGTCTTTAATTTCCTTGAAATGTAAGTCAGAACCAGCTTGATACATGTATATTGTGTGTGTTCTTTTTTCCAAACAGTTTTGTGTTTGATGTCTTGACCACAAGTCATACGACAAGTGTGGCTGCTATGGTTTTTCACTTTGATCACCAGAAAGCTACCCAAACTTACTCCAGCTTTATTTACATTATCTACTAAACTATACTTTACACTGCAGTGGCGGATCCAGGGGATGGGCCTGGGGGCCCGGGTCACCCCTTATTTTTAGAGCAAACTGAGGCCCAAAGGGCCGAAAACATTTTTTTCGGGGAACTGCGCACCCCCTACTCCCCATCATCTCTAAGGTCTGGAGCTGGCACTGTACTGCCCACGCTGATTATGTCATCTGCAATCTACTACCTGTAACTTCAAGTAATATGTTTCATGAGAAAGACTTATTGTTTAGAGTCTCTGTAATCGTGTTGTTTGTCAAGAATGTTTCCAATTTGTTCCAGGTTACAGAAGCCCTTTCACTTGTCATTAAGTTAGCAGAATATTTGGCAAAGCTTCCAAAGGTTAGTGTTGACCTGACAATAAGACAGACAGTTCATAACAAATTACACGGAATTGAATAGTTTTCTTGATTTTTATTAGATAAAATCTGATATGATACTGAAGCAAAGGTCAAATATCAGGCTATACCCTGCATCCAATTTGACAACTTACTTTCAACAAATTTATTGACTTGTTTTTTCTTACAGATCAGTTTGACAAACACCATGGATCAATTACCAGAAAAAGTACCTGATCTTTTAGTAAGACAAGGTATTGTAATTTTAGTTAAACGCTTAGAATGGGGGTAATATGCAGCATTATAAGGATGGAATAGCTCACAGTTCATCCAATTTTTTTCCATAGAGACAAGAGTTTACAATGCATTGCTATTTCCAATTCTAGCAATTGGTTCTTTCTGATTGTTTGATTGATTAAGCACGATTTCCCGAATATACACCAAAAAGGTCGGCAGCCTTGCAAATATTACAATCTTAGTATTATTATTATAATGGAGTCGATTCTCTCCCCCACCCCCACCCCCTCCTCCTACCTGCTCCCCAACCTGCCTCACTTTTTAGTCTTAGATTTCTCTTTTTTCATTAATCACATTTTTTTAACATTGGAAACCATTAATCCGTCTATGGATCGAGGTTGTGCTCTTGCCGCAATTGTCGGTAACCTCTTTGGAATTTCTGATCCACCCCATTTTGGTGGTTGGTACAAGTAGCAAAGTTTCTTGCAATAGTGGTAGGAAAACCTATTGCATTATAATTTGCTCCTTAAAGCACTGAAAACATAGCAAAGACACCATACCAGCAGTTGTTAAAGCCATCCACTTTTTAGAGGCGGCCAGACTTGCTACAAGTCGACCTCTTGGCGAGCGGAGCGTGCTTTTTTTGTTCGCGAAGCGGCCGACCGCGAGCGACGAAGTCATATGAAATCCGACGAAGGACTTTTTTGAAAGTCTAAGAGGCAGCCTGCTCTAGCCAATTTGGGAAATCTTTAGTACATTTAAGAAAAAGTAACGGGCCTAAAATGGAACCTTGAGGGACTCCACAAGTGATTTGTTTTCTTACCGAAAATGGCAGTTGACCATGTTCTTCTGGCTTCGATTGCTTAAATACGACTCAAACTACTTTAAAGAGTGGTTTTCCGTTTGAGTCCACCATGTCGTACATGTAACGAACACTTTTTCTGTACTTTAACTCCGCACAGATTTAATCGAATACGTTTTGAACTCTCAAGACCTTAACACACCGTCAGGATACCTTAAAAGATATACAACACCAATAGACATTGTCTTGGACAGTGGTATGAGGATTTTTGATTTTCTATTAATTTAACTTAATGTCCTTAAGGTACGTTGGGATTACGGCATGATGCTTTGGTGTCGGACGCAGTCCGCCAAATCGTCGGCCGAACGCCATCCGACGAAGCTTTTCGCGCGGGTCCTTAGAAAGACTTGACTGAAACCGGGCTAAGTTGGGAACAACCTAGAGATAGTGAAGTGGTTGAGCCACGAACCTGAAGGTCATTAAGAACTTTGAAGAACTAAAATAGCTAGTCACTTTCCCCGAATAGTCGATGTGATAGGTTGTCGTTTCAGATATTGTGCTTTTGAAGTGGGTTTTTGATTCCTCTGTGTGTGCCTTTCCCTTATCTCTTTTCACGCTTAACTTCCCCTCCCTCCCCTCCCCCCTTTTTTGCGACTGCCACGCAGGCTACACTCTGTGCTTTCTTGAAATTGTTGTAGGCAACTGCACACGCTGGTCACGTGTGACTTTATTAAACGAAGAAGTGTAGAAGTCATGAACATGATGCAAGGGGAGTGGAGGGAAGGGGGGAGCACGAAAGGGGAAATTCCGCCCTTTTTTTCTTTTTTTCCCACCACTTTTGATGCCTGTCTCACCGGCTAATTGTCTCCTAACGAAAAGCGGGGACCGCACAACAATTTTTTATTAAAGCGTGTGGGGTGGGGTGGGGTGGTGTGGGGGCCACAGTTTTCCTCTTCCTTCCCTCCAAACAATGTTACTCTTGTTTGATGGAAAAAATGTTCTCCCTGTTACCTTATTGCATCGTAGTAACTTATTGATATAAATTGATTTATTGTAAGAGCTAACTCAAGGTTGTTTTTACTATATTTTCTTTTTTAACAGAACTGGCCTGGCCAATGCAGACAAAGCTTTTTCCTTTAAGTTAGAATGGACCTCCTTTGAGGATTGTTCATACTTGGTAATACTTGTATGTTGTAAATTGGTTAAAAGTCCGTGTTTTTTGTTTAGAAATCACAGTTTTATTTTACTTGAGTCTCGTCATTTAAATGATAAGAAGATGGAACAAACCGGTAGGCTTTTTCGTTACCATTTGAGCGCGAATACCCTTCGTGGAAGTGATTCTATAGCCTTTGTGCAGTCGCACCCTCCCAACATACTACCTTGTAGTCGCGTCGGAGAGACCTGGTTGCACCTGATCTCCAACCTCGTCCCCAGGGCTTTTCCCTCAAAAAATGGGTGAAAAGCCCTGGGGACGAGGTTGACCTGATCTCGTGACCACCTGTTCGATTTAAAGCCGCAGCGGGGGTCGGTCCTCGACTTGCCTGCGTGCCGATGTCTCCTATTACCTTTGTTGCAACACTGGAAATAGGATACGTCTGCACGCAGGCAAGGCATAAACAGTCTCGCATAAACTTTGACGTAGGGGGAGAACGACCTGGTGCAAAGTTTTTCCAAATCAGCTGAACAGACAAAAAAAGAGTAGAAAAATTGCACCAGCAGGGTGCAAATAAAGTCATTTTTACAGCTTGCCATTCGGTAGTACGATCAGCATTGCAGTATTCTGCTTGCAGAATTTAATATGTCTACTTGTCATTTTTGCTGATCAGGTCTTTATAGATCCTACGTTCTTCGGCATATTCGTTTGCGGTCCTTTGCAGTCCTTTGTGGTTAATGCTTGTACTTTATGTATTTTGGGGCCGAAGATCTTTTTATAGATCCGAAATGCTGTAATTATTGCATGGTTCTTTTCATGTTTTAGAGGTTGGTTTTGGCCAACCCTCTATTTTCTCTGCGAGACATCAACTTGACACTTTTACTCTTGCCCCCTAGAAGACTCGTGGTATGGCGTGATTCTGTGGGTGTTGAGAGTTCTAGGTCAGTGCTTAAATCAGAGTGCGCGGATATTTTTCATCAGAGCTTTCTCTGGTTGTTACGCCATACTGACGAGCCCCAAAAAGGGCGAAACAGCTGTCTATGGCTACAATCCCGCTCTGTTTTGAGTTCTTTCGGTGTCGTGTTGATGCCGGGTGTTGATGTCTTGCAGAGTTAATTGTCACGTAGTACGATCAGCATTGCAGTATTCTGCTTGCAGAATTTAATATGTCTAAGCTGAAGCTAGCATTTACTAGCCCAAACGTCATTTCAACTAGCCCCAAAATTTTTTGATGAACAGAATTGATTTCAAATTTCTTCTGTAAGTTAAATTCCTCAAAATACTTCACTTGCCCGTCGGGCAAGTTAAGAACAGAATTCACTAGCCCAATAGCAAAATCCACTAGCCCCGGGCTATCGGACACTACTTTCTTTGCACGCTGATCAGTTCAAATCACATTCCATATCTTCTGAAGCTTCCCAAACCAAGAGACAATAATCCAATAATCCCTCGGAAAGTAATGGCGCGAACCATATGATTTTCCAGCGCCATTTTGAAAGTGTCAAGATTCCATCGACAAAATTTGGTCGAGGACTTGCCTGCGTGCAGACGTATCCTATTTCCAGTGTTGCACGCGGAAAAAGGACGTCGTCCCTTTGCTGCGTGCAACAAAGGTACCGAACATCTCAACCTCGTTCCCAGGTTCTCTCTCCTACACATCTCTCTCTCTCGCTCCGTAGGCAACGGGTAGGAGAAAGGCCTTTGGGTAGGAGAGAACCCTCTTTCCCATCACCCCTCGCGCTCTCTCTCGCGTTTCGTCTTCCGGGTACGATCCTCCGCTTGTTCATCATTTTAAATACGCATCGTGATGTTTTTTGATTACTTAAGGACGGTGCCCACTAATGGGAAGTATTTTTTCCCAGATAATGACTATGTGAGACAAGTAGATCATGTCAGGGGCTATTGAAATCCAAAAAGAAAACTGGGGGTAACCACGCATTTTTCAGAGATAACTGCGCTTCAATATGGAGAAAAACGCTGAATAGGCATTTTTTAGAAAAATGATAAAAAGTTATTTTTCCCAAAATTTCGGAGTGTACACGTGAACTGGCACAAATGCAATGATAATTGCAACAAGGTTTCAAAATAAGCAACAAATGATAACATAACAACTGCTCTTTATACGCCTTTTTTTGAAATATCAGCACAACTGGGAAGTTGTCAGCAGTTACCCCTCTCCACGCGTTTGCCTTAAAAATAGTGTAAACGACATTTTCCCCGAACCAAAAATTGATCGTTTGCTGAGTAGGCTTATTACTTTCATTTGGTAAGATAAAAAATAGGGGTTACCACGCGTTTTTAGAAGTTAAATTGGTTGGTTTCGGCCTTAACTTAATCGTTTTGGGGGCTATTTACAATTTTTCCTATCCCCTCCCTGGTCAGTTTCACTATTGCTTCACTCAACGCGGAGTACTCTGGGATATCCACAATGGCCGACAGTCAGAGAACAACAACCCACGAAAGAGAGCAAAAACAGAAAGTGAAGCAGGACATTTCATGGACCATAAGGAAAACAAATATGCTATTTCATTCAACTGGAGCTTCTCCGTCTCAAAAATTTAACTAAAATTTTTGGAAAAGAGCAATCTCGAAGGAATTAAAGATTACTTCCAGCGCACATAGAGTAG